CGAAGAATTGAAACCCAATGAGAAACCAAATTATCAAATTACACGCAATTCGGTCGGTAAACATGGGCAAAATCCTCAAAATTTGGAAAATTGAGGTTAGGTTTATATGGGGGCTATATCAAAACATGGACCGATAATGATAATTTTTGGTAAGGAGATTTGTAACGCAATGAGAACCCAAAATAAAATTTTAGGCAATTTGGTTCAAAAATTGTACCCAAAATCCTCAAACTTTGAAATTTTGAGAATAGCGTTACATGGGGACTATACGAAAACATGGACTAATATTGATAATACCTAGTACAGAGTTTTTATTCCCCATGAGATCTCACAATACCAAATTATAGCCAATTCGGCTGATAAACATGCCCAAAATCCTTAAAATACGAAAAATTGAGGATATGCTAAAAATTGGCCCAATATTAATAATTTTTGGTAGGATGGTCTGCCAGCCTATGAGAACCCAACATACCAAATTACAGCACATTTGAATGAAAAACGTAACCAAAACAACGAATATTGGGCGTACCCTAACATGGGGCCTGTACCTTAACCTGGACCAATATTGATCATTTCTGTGTATGAAGATTTGCCACCCATTGAGAACTCAAAATACCAAATTACAGTCAATTCGAATGACAAATGTACCAAAACTTCCCCAAAAAAATACGGAAATTTTTGAGGTACCTTTAAAGGGGGCTATATCAAAATTAAACCAATATTGAGAATTTTTGGTAGGATGGCTTGCCACCCAATGAGAACCCCAAATACCAAATATCAGTCACTTCGGATGAAAAATATACAAAAAATACGGAAATTTTGGACCAATATCGATAATTTTTTTAGGTAGTTTTGCCACCCAATACGAACCCAGTATACTAAATTTAAGCCAAAATACGGAAATTTAGGGTTAGCCTTATATGGGACCTACCCTAAAAAGTGGTCCAATATAGATAATTTTTGTTGGAATGTTTTGCCACCCAATACGAACCCAGTATACTAAATTTAAGCCAAAATACGGAAATTTAGGGTTAGCCTTATATGGGACCTACCCTAAAAAGTGGACCAATATCGATAATTTTTGTTGGAATGTTTTGTCACCCAATGCGAACCTAGACTACCAAATTACAGCCACTTCGATTGAAAAACATACCCAAAATACCGGAAATGTTGCGTTTGCGTTATTTGGGGCCTATCCTAAAAATTGGATCAATATCGAACATTTTTGGTGGGAAGTTTTGCCACCCAATGCGAACCCAGAATACTGAATTTGAGCCAATTCGATTGATAAAGATACCTAAAATTCAGACATTTTGGCTTAACATTATATGGGGCCTACACCAAAAAGTGGACCAATATCGATAATTTTTGGTGGGAACCCAAATATACAAAATGACAGACATTTTGCTTAAATAAAGTGCTCACATTCCAAAAAAAAATCAAAAATTTGGGAGGTTCCCTTAATGAAGGCTATACCAAAACGAGGCCGATATTGATAAATTTTTGTTGGGAAGTTTTCCCAGCCAATGCGAATCCAAAATGCAAAATTACAGCCCATTTGGTTCAAAATAAGTACCAAAATTCTTAAAAAATCCGAAATTAGAGAGTCTTCCTTGCAGGTTATAAAAATGGGACTAGATTTTTAGCTGTTTGACCGGGTTTGTTTAGCTGTTTGGTTGGCTGCTAAGCATCCAGTATCCAGAAGGTCAGCGACGTTGTTTTTGTTGTTGGTGGCAAGAGAACCAACAGCATCAGTAGCATCAACAGTGGTAGGACGAGTTCCACGCACAAACACACACACACACATTAATACACAAATTCAAAGTCACTCACACACATAGAAGATATTCCTGAATTTAATGGCCGACCATACAAACAATTTTTTTCCAGATTTTCTTGCAAATTTTTTCGGCATTTCATTTTGCGATTTTTTTTTTCAATTTTCTTTTATTTTTTTCTCTTTGGGTTGGTCGTGGTTGGCTCTGACTTGCCTTTTTTATGTCAATACTAATATTTACTTTTCAAAAGCGCTTTACCAGGAAAACCAATGCTGCTTCTTGGTACACACTGAGACCTGAGACTTGCTCACCTTTCCTCCCACTGCTGCTTGCTTTTCAAAACACAACGAGCCAAAACACAGCCGGAGCGTTGCGTTGTTGTGTCTCCTCCGTTGTACTAGTACACAAAAGTTGTCGTCGTCGTAGAAGAAGAAGCAGCAGCAACAGCAGTGGCGGAGGAGGAGGCGGAAAAAATAATAATTGCGCACCAAGTAAAAAAGGAGGAAAAAATATGCAATCGTTTTTGGCAGGCACCACTTGGATGGATGGATGGCTGAATGTCTAGAGGAGTGTTGTTGGGGATAGCCGGGTAGATGCTTGTCGTTTTTTTTTTTTTCCGATACACATAAGTTGGGTTGGATATTTATTTCACTTCGGGGTTTTTTTTTTTTTTTTTTTTTTTTTTTTTTGATGCACATTTCAACATTATCTATTTTTTTGTATTACCTGGGCCGCAGAGACAGACTAGTGGGCCTCCTGTTTTCATTTATTTTATTTTTTGTTTTTTTTTTTACTTTTCTTTCTTCACTTTTTCTTCGTTTTTACAACTCTTCTTTCAAACAAACTATACTACTATATACAACACACTCGTCGACCCAACCAACAACAACCACCGGACAATGATGATGACAACAACAAGAACAACAAAAATCAAACTGTGATTTGTTGTTGGTGTTATGGCTGGCTCAAAAAATATACACTCTCTCCTTCATGTCTTGCTTTCTTGTTCACTCTCTCTCTCTACAACAAAATTTGCCAAGTAACATATGGATGGCTGGCTTGGCCAGCAAAACATTTAATTTTTTTATAACAAATTATTTCTTTCACTTTTATTTATTATTTTTGCTTACTTTGTATTCTCTTCTTCTTCTGCAAACACTTTATTTTGTTTTTCTCTCTTTTTAAACAACAAAAAGACTAAACATTCACAATTTCCTTTTTTTCTATTGAAAGCAAACACGACCGGTTTCGTTTTCTTCTTCTTTTTTCCCCGTTTCTTTTAACATAAAGAAGAAAATTGTATTTTCATTATTAAAAATCTGTTCATCGCTTTCTTCCGCAACATTTCCGACGACGTTTCATTCATTTAGGGCTACCGAAATCGACTAAACAGAAATTTTAACAAAAATGCATTGCTCGCTCTCTCTCTCTCTTGCTGTCTACTGTTCCCTCATTCTCTCTCTCTCTCCCTGTTAATGGGTTGTGTTCATTGATATCGAAATTATCGATGATATCGATAGTGTTTTGTAATGTGATTGGTAACTCTGATTGCTTTCAGCAGCCAATTGAGCAATTGCCTTAGAGGGGATTTACACGCGAGCAACTACTGCATGCAATTGGAAATGATGCATGCATTTTTATTTAAAAAATGCACGGAAAATACAATAAAAATGGGATTTTTTAAATTAAGAATAACATAGAAGACCTGAACAACTTCTTACAGAAGACCAAAAAAATTTCTCAAAATTTGTATAAAAAACTTGAAAGACTTCTCATAGAAGAACTGAAGGTGTACTCATGAAAGACTTGAACGACTTCTCATAAAAGGCCTCAAAGAGGACCTGAATGACTTCATATGTAGACATGACATGATAATACACTTTAGCAAAGTTGCAAGTTTGTTTGAAGCGAATGCAAACTTCCTTTTGAACTTCTTATTCTTTGGCACCTAACCTGGAACATTTTAGATCTAATAATTCGCAGATCTGACTAATAAAATATGGTTACAACATTTCTATTGAGGAGTTTTTCTAGCTGAAAGCTTTAATCTACCAACCATTCTTGCATTTACCACCGGTCATTTTTGCATCTAGTGTACCCTTTTTCTCTCAGCCGTTTGTAAATAAACCATTAATTCATGTTATCAATTACAAGTTTTTGTATATGGTATAAAAGAAGAAGAATTTATAATCTAATTTGTATAATTTATTTCATAAGTTTGTAAAAATAAAAAAAACAAATAAATATTTATTATTAATAATTTAAGAAGAAGACTCTACTCTCATCTCATTCTTGCATTTAGCACCGGTCATTTTCGCATCTAGTGCACCCTTTCTATCAGCCGTTTGTAAACAAACCATCAATTCGTGTTATCAACTCCAGATTGCTGCACATGGTATAAAGGGAAGAAGAAGAATTTAATATTAGTAATTAAATTTGTTTAATTTATTTGATAATTTGGAATAAATATAGAAAAAGGAATAAATATTTATTGTTAATAATTTAAGAAGAAGAAGACTTTACTCACAATCACAATTGCCATATCAAGTACGTCAAAATTCAAGTAACCACGTCAGGAACTGTGCCAGCTGTCACTGACAGTTTCTCCATGTCTCAATTTTCTAAACAAAAGGAAAAATGATATCGGTGTTATGTCTCACCATCTTTCGTAAACAATACGATTTGGTCATTTTTCTTTGGATTCCTTTTTTAACAGCTGTTCTCTCATTTCTTCCCCTCTATTTGTTGTATGTAGACGCTTTTAAATTAGGTGCGGCGGTTCATTGTAAAAGTGTGGCTCGCAAAGAGGAGGCATCCCTCAACTCAGCTCGAAAGAATTGCAGTGGGAAAAACCCTCATTTGCTCGGGAGATTGGTGAATTGGTTACTTGGCAGCGGAGACCTGAAGTACATCTTATATATAATTAATCTAATTATGGACGATCTATTAACCTCGACCGGTAATGTTGAACATTACACACCTCCGGCGGAACACTTGAAACCCTTCAAAAATATCAATTGCACCCAACCGGACTGCAGCAGCACCTTTACAAATCAATCCAATTTTGAGATGCATTTGGAAAAACATCATGGGGTCTCAGTGGCTGGCAGTGGCGCACGCTCCTTTAATTTGCGGCTCTATCATTGTCCGGAATTAAATTGCCAATATCAATTTGGTGGCCGTCCGGATGGTGGTGGCGGTGGGGGCAAACATTTCAAAAATATGAAATATTTACGGCAGCACTATCAGAAGGTACATTTGGCCAAGAATTTCGTGTGTGACGATTGTGGCAAGGCATTTTCTTTGGACAGCCAGTTGAGGAAACATAAGCGGGATGTGTGCGGTAAGGCTTTCGCTTGTCGTGAATGTGGTTGGCCATATGAATCGTTGGAAGCGCTATTGACCCATGGCAAACGCAAGGGCCATAATGTCAAGGAGGTTATCACCATAACTAAGCGGGAAGGGAGGTTGCCGGTAAATCCGAAGTCGGGAGGTGGTGGGAAATTTAGACAACAAAGCACTAAGGCGACGGCGGCGGCGGATTCGCCGATGGAAATGATGCCGATGGTGGATAATAAGGATAAAATGATGTCGAAGCAGACAGAAGAGGAAATTAATGGTAAGTTCGGATGGTGTTTTTTCTCAATACCCTACAGCCTGAGGAGGAGGGTGTCATAAATATGGAATTTATCGAAGACTTCATAATCGATGAGTTGGTCATCTTCAGGTCTTCCCATATACGATCAGAAGCTCTTCAAATAAAGTTCTTCTCATAGTAGAGTTGAAGAAGGGCGGTTAACTTCTGGAACTAGTTCATCGAACGGGATAGGGACTCGATTGCCGATAAGGAATTCTTTTAGATCAAGAAGAACCTCAAATTCATTCGGAAGTTCTCACTTTCTATATGAATGATACTGCGTCAAGATTCGAAATAATTCAAGGGGGTCCTGAAGGTCTTCACTTAAAATATAGAAGGTCTACTCTTAGAAAATTTTCTAACAGAAGACCAGAAGGTCTTCAGATGGAAGTCATGAAGATCTTCTCATAGATGATTTGAAGTAGAGCGGCAACTAGTCCATCGTACGGGATACGGATTCGATTATCGATAAGGAAATCCTTTAGATCAAGAAGAACCTCAAATTCATTCCAAAGCTTTTACATTTATATACGATTGATACTGTATCAAGATTCGAAAAAAACCTGAAGAACTTCTCGTAGAAGGCCAGAAGGAATTCTCATTGAAGATAGAAAACCTGAAGGGCTTCTCGTAGAAGACCTGAAAGTCTACTCATAGGAGACCTAAAGTTCTGCTCATAGAAGACCTAAAGTTCTACTCATAGAAGACCTGTAGATAGAGAACCTCAAGATGTGAACTTTCTTGGGATTATTAGAGAGCCTGATGGCTTCAAATTTTAAGGGTTATAGAAACCCTCAAGAACGATTATTGGAGACCCTGAAGGCGTGGATAATTTCAGGGTTTAATATTAAATCTTAAGGTGTGGATTTTTAAGGGGATTATAATTGAATATCAAGGCGTAGATTTTTAAGGTAATTATTAGACACCCTAAAGGCGTAGATTTTTAAGGTAATTATTAGACACCCTAAAGGCGTAGATTTTTAAGGCAATTATTAGTGAACCTACCCTGAAGGGGTAGATTTTCAGGTAATTATTGAAGAACCTGAAGGGGTAGATTTTTCAGGTAATTATTGAAGAACCTGAAGACCTAGTTTTAAAGGAATTTTATAGACCCTCAAGTTGTAATTCTTATGGGTATGATCCTCGAGATATGACTTTTTTACTTTTTTTAGATCCTCAGTATCGTTTTTTTTTTTTAAATTTGTCGACCCAGCCGATTATATTTACAAATTTTACCTATTTTCCACTTATTTTTAATTTTTTTATTTTCAGGAAATTACCAACTACCAGCAACACCATCATCATCGACATCATCCACCTCCACTGTCGAAGTCAACCTCTGCCCCACACAAATGTCCGCCGGTGTACAAACCGAATGTTTCCCCGAATTGATGCATTCACCCAATACTACTACTAGTCAAGATATTTCCAATGCCCTGGATGAAATACATTCCCTATTGCGCGACATTGAAACCCAAACGGAACCGCCGCTACTCACAGACAATCAAAGCAATGAAAATCAAAATTATTTAGATCAAATGTTGGCCGCCGCACAATCCGCACACATGTACACGCAAACATGTGATGATTTTCTTAGTGAATTGGGTCTGGCAGATATTCAAACTCAAACGAATTGGCCATCGCCGCAACGTAATGTGGAAGAAAAACTGCAATATACCTCAACGGCCACCTCCACAAATCCTTGTATACACGACGAACTATTGGTGTCCACCGAGACTCAGACTAGTTTTACACAATGTCTTTTGAATTCGTGTACCGATACTGGGACAAGTACACCCCCCGTTAGTTTTGGTAGTCTTTATCACACCTCGTCACAGCATACCCAAACCTCTGATCCATATTTGGAAAGTTTTGATTTTGGTGGTCAGGCTTCGGATTTAATGGATGGTTTCCAATCGACCTATACACAGACATGATGGTACGATTGGGATTTTGAGGGTGGTGGTAGTCTGATGGATAGAGGGGGTGGTGGTGTTGGCGGTGTTGGGAGAGAGGCGGCCTCGGTCTCGAGTCATGTTGGAAATGTCATCAATAATACGGAATATGAGGCGAAGATGTGCGCAAGTGGTGGCGGTGTTAACTCCAGAGGTCACACTAAGGAATTTAGGAAAAACCCGTAAACCCTTAGTTCGGAATCGCAAAAAAGAAATATTGCAATATTAAAACAAATATACGTACAGATGGTATACGCAAAGTATTAGGCAACATTTATTTTAAATTCAAAAAAATACATTTGGAATTAAATATACTATTTAAAAATTAATGTACAATTACAAACATAGATACGTAATTTAAGAATTTATTTATTAAAAATATTGTAAACAATTTAAAAAAATGTGATTGGTTATTAATTTAAAAAAATGAAACCCTTAAATAAACACATGTTGCATTCGGTGGCAAACAAAATCGTTTATTTTTCAAATAGTTGACCTTATTTAAAAAGCCTTGAACCTGGTAGGCATAAAAAATTCATTTTAAATAAATTTTCAGGATATATGTACATGTTAACATTGTATTAATCTAATAAATTTATTCTCCGATATTTTCAACACCGATGTCAGCCGTTCTTTTATATTTAATATTCCTGTAATTTGTCTTATATTTTCTTACATTATACGTTGAAATAAATATCATCATATAATGTCACGATGTAAACTCCATATTAATTTAGTTCATTTATTCCGTGACATTTTTTAATGCTGATGTCGACCTATGTAACTCTAAGATTAACAGATGTTATTTTTTTAATTTTTTATTTCACTTTCTGAACACCGACAGTCCTTGGCACAATGAATAGATAGTCCATTTAGAGTAGCTGATGTCTTGATTAACTGTCAAAGTGCGTAATTTCTATTTGAATTCGATGTTCAATGTTGCCAACCATGTGAAATATTATAAGGAAAAATATAACAGATGATCGAGACAAAATCAAAGGTTTTTGTTGTGATACATCACCTTATTACTGCATCATGCGATAGTCTTTTAACATTTTATTTTGATGTCAATCTATAACTTTCTGAACACTATACACAATCTATAACTTTCTGAACACCGATAGTCTATCGCCCTTATTTGACGTATATATCCATACATTAGATATCAAAATAGATTACAATACAGTGTCATGATGTACATGTAAACGCGTTTAAATATTTTATGTTGATGTCGACCTGTATAACCCTAACACTGACAGTTGTTCCTTTATAAACAGTTGTTCTGTTTTTATTTCACTTTCTGAACAACCATAGTCTATCGCCCTTATTTGATGTGTATATTAATACATTAGATGTCAAAATACTTCACGATACAGTGTCATGATGTACATGTAAACGAATTTTAGTCTCTTATGTTGATGTCGACCTGTATAACCCTAACATTGACAGCTGTTCTTTTATATTTTTTATGATCTCTTTCTAATCTATCATTATGCTTTACACCCACTCCGTTAAAAATCATTATCTACTATTTATCATGATCATCAAATATATTTCAATCTATTTCTATAGTTTTTTTTGTCATAAAAGATCATTATAAATCATGATATGTGTAAACGCTGTCTTAAACTCGATCACTTATTGCCTTGTAATGTGGACCTGTATAAATAACCCTTACTTTATCAGCTGTTTATTTGTTATATATCATGCCTTTTATCGCCACAATGACAGTCTATTGCCGATATTCGTAAACACAAGGAACGTAGCAAGCAGTTTGCCTTATATTCAGATTTTTTAACAATCATTCCCTTTTCACCTCATCTGTTTGTATCAAACATTTTTGCAACTGATTTCTTTCGGTTCATTTTAGAGAACCGCCCTTGCAATTGAACTAGTTAACGAGAGAGCGAGAGAGAACAACGACAGCTTAACGCCGTTATGTTTTACACCCATTCGTAAACAACACAACATACGAAGCAATTATTATTATTTTCACTTACTTTCACCTCCTTTATCATGCATTCTCTTCTACCTCTTTCTTTTTTGTGTTATTTTTTGCAATTGGTTTCCTACGGTTCATTTAAGAGAACCCCCCTTTAGCAATTGAACTAGTTCGTAGCAAAACGACACAACACTCACCCACAGAAGGAAGAAAGAAGAGAGAAAGAAGATTTTTTTAAGAAAAAAATAAATTAGTTACTTTCTATTAACTTTTAAGTGAACATTTTTTGTAAAAATATACACACAAATCCGAACTGCTATAATAAACAAAAGGAATTATAAACCAAAAAGAGCTGTGAGTGCAAGACGTAGCAGAACGAAGCAGAAGAAAAAAGGTCGACACAACCAAACGACATTAGATATTTTTTTACCTGCATAAGAAAGGAGGAAGGAAAATCAAAAAGACGGTAGAGAAAGGAATAACAAATACGGCAGAAGCAGTAGCAGAGGAGTTTATATAAAAGCTGGCAGGCAGGCACGGTGGTGGTGCTCTTGAAGAATAAAACACAATGGCAAATGAAAATGACCAACAGCATCATCATCATCCGCATCCGTCTGGACATAATGCTGTGAGTGATCTACAAACGGACTGTGAAAAGAATGCCTTGGATTCGATAAAAGCTCGTGAGGAATGCAGTGGTGGTGGTGCTGCTGGTGGTGTTTGTTCGACAAGCAAAGATGTTAGTGGTCCACACAAAGAAGACGAGCCGACAGACAGCTATCATCATCAGGTTGATGGCAGCGGTGGAAATGGTGAATGTTGTGATGAGGACAGACCAACGGCAGCCAAGGGTAATCTAAATGATTTGGTAGCAGATTTGTGTTTAAATGGTCATCGATCCCACTCACAAATGAGTGGTAATAATGGGGGTGGAGCATATGGAGAATATCAAAAACCCTCTGGCAGAGCTAGTGGACATGAAGGTAAGTCCACATCTCCAAATAGTAACACTATAATTAAAATTTATTTTCTCGTCTTAGATAATGCCGGGCACAAATCCATTGGTGATGTTGCCTCTTCCACCACCAACCATAACACACACACCACAGTTCCGGCACCCACCCAAAATTCATCATCATCGTCATCATCATTTTCCTTTAAACATTTCCTTAGTAGCAGCAGTGCTCATACTGCCCCCTCGACCACAGTCACATCATTGGATCCACCATTGAATGTTAGCAGTGGCAACAACAACAGTACGTCCACAACATCATCATCTGCAAATTCCACGTCTGCCACACTTTCCCTACAAACATCAACGGGTGCCCGTCCCAAAGTTCCACAATCGAATTCTGTTTCGTCCACATTAACAGTGAGTGGTGGTGGTGCAACAACAAATTGCGGCGGCAGCGGCCTAGATGGCCTGTCCTCGGCCACAAAAATGAAACGCTCACCACGTTTTTCATCATTTGACTCGCAGGCGAGTCTGGCTGAGTATGCTGGTGCATCGAATTCAGCTGATTTGCCACCTGGGGAAGCGTCATCAGGTGGTGGAGGCGGTCTCAGCGCAGGAAGATCATCCGACTATCGTCTATATCCGGATGAAAGGGAACGCGATCGATTTGCAGGTTAGTAAAGGTAACAAATTGCTACTTGAGGGGTCGGAACATGGGTGGTAAGAAGCACAGGATGTGCTCACCAACAAAGTATCGAAGGATATGAAATGTGTAGAAAATGAATAGGTCCCCTTGTCTGGTAGTATTTTTTGCCATAAGGGCGATTTTTGGACAGTCCTCCTAGGAACATTTTTGAAAGGACATCTGAAATGATGATATCTTGACAGATAACTTCAGAAGACCTACTAATGCCAATCTTTGATAAAGCCGATCCTGTAGGGTTGCATAATCGAATTTTGTGCCCTTCATCAATTGTATTTTTTTTTTGAATCCTGGGATTTAAAAAAAATATATATTTAAAAAAACAGACTTAAAAAAATATTTTTTAAAAAATCCAGACTTAAAAAAATATTTTTTAAAAAAATCCACACTTAAAAAAATATATTTTCTAAAAAAATCCCAGACTAATAAAAAATTTTTTTTTAAATCTAGACTTAAAAAATATTTTTAAAAAATCTAGACTTAAAAAATACTTTTTAAGGAAATTCAGAATTAAAAAAATATTTTTTAAAAAATCCAGACTTAAAAAAAATATTTTCAAAAAAATCCAAACTTAAAAAAATATTTTTTTTTTAAAAAATCCAACCTTAATTTTTTTTTTTAAATCAAAACTTAAACAAAATATTTTCTAAAAAATCCACGCCTGCTGAGACTTAATTGTTTTTAAATTCACGTCTGCTGAGATTTAATTTTTTTTTTAAATCCACGCTTGCTGGGACTTAAAAAATATTGTTATTCGAACTAATGCTAATTTTATCTACCCTTTCTTGCAGAATGGAATCTCCCCTCCAATACATCTACGATGACAACAAATTCTTCAGATTATGATCGTGGCGGTCAATATGTACCACGTTCCTATTCAAATTATGAAATCCCACGACCACAGACCTCACCACGACGTCGTGTTGGTATCGGTGCTAATCGTGATACGCGACCCACCCGTTTAACTTTGAATACCAATTCGCAATCGACAACAATGGCTGCCAAATTGAAATTGGATTTGCCCATAAATCAAAATAACAGTGGCGGCAGTGGCGGAGGATCGGCTGCTGCATCGTCGTCCAGCCGAAGAAGAACCCTAGCAACACGTCCAACAGATTTTCAACCACCCAATCCCTTGCCGGGTGGTGCTGCGGCGGCCGCAGCATTACCCGATTTTGTGCAAGATCATTGGATGGATTCGTGGTATGCCAATGATATGCACGTTAATTCACCACCATCTTCGCCCATTGCGGCATTTGCTGATGAAATGCCAGGCAGTAGTGGTGTAGATCAGGCTATTGGGGGTGGTGGTGTTGGCGGCATCGGTGGTGCGGGTGTCAGGTCACGTAACCTTGATAATGCACCCTTGCCCGGGCCAGCCGATATGGGCGGTTTTAATATGGGTCTACCCGAACAACCCTCATCATCATCGGTGGGTTCGAAAATGTTACCCGATTTCCTTAGCGATGGCCCCATAATACATTCGTCACAGCGTTTGGCCGACATCGCTGCCGGATTGCCATCAAATTCCGTCGGCTCCCCCGAAGAGTCGACGCTCAGCAATCAATTGTCAAGGTTACGTTCCGATAATGCTTTACTACAACGGGAATTGGATGAAACACGGGCAGCTCTCAGCGAACAGACGTCGCGGGCAAATAATCTCGAACGTCAGCTAATGGAACAGCAACGTTTACACAGATCCGAAACGGAAGAGACCATGGATAGCAATAAGAAACATTCAACGGCCGTACAAAATCTTGTCACAAAACTAAAATTGCAGGTGCAACAGTTAACCGCGGAGGTGGAGATTTTGAGGCGTGAACGGGATTTGATGCGTGAAGAAGGTGCTGTGGGTGGCTGTAACGTTTCGGCGGCGGCAACAAACTGTGATCGTTCTCCTCCTTCTAATAACTCCTATGCCGCAGCGGCTGCTGTAACAAGTAGCAATCGTGGTGTGGGTGGTGGTGGTGGAGCTGCATCGAATGCAGCAACGCCAGGTGGAGGTATTGGTGGTGTTGGGACTCCAACTGCCAGTGTTGCCGCTGGAGGTTTAGGTGGTGGCTGTATGGGTGTTAGCAGCAGTACAGGTGGTGGAGTGGCTGGTGCCGGTGTTGGTATTGCTGGCACCGCAGGCATTATTGGCCTTAGACCGTCCAGAGCACAACAGTTATCATTAGATTTGCGGAGGGCAGCATCAAATGCAGAACAAAACCTGAGGTGAGTTTTAAATCCACTCTCAAAATCAAAAAAAATATCCAGCCTCGGTGAGGCTCCTTCAAAAAATGTACAGGCCTTTTAGGCCCTTCGAAAAATATGCGGACCTTATAGGCCATGCCTCCTTATCCAATTTTCCGCACTTAATAAGTGGAATGACTTCAATGACCCTAGAATTATATCTTTTTGGTAGTATAAATAAAATTCGGTGTGTGGTGATTTTTTATAGATACGATTTTTATCTTCATTGCCACAACATTATACAATTTTGAATTATATCTTTTTGGGTAATATAAATTAAATTCGAGGTGTGGTGAATTTCCATAGAAACACAATTTCCGTCATTTTTTTATTGGAATAACTACGACAATTCAGTTATATGTTTCTAATTATAAAAATTTGGAAATTAGGCATTTTTTCAAAGTGCGGTGAATTTTCGAAGAAACTCACCACACCTTAAAACTTGTTGAAAATTACATAGACAATTAGAAAAACTACTTACAACTGCAAATACATATTTTTTAATCATGTCCTACGCCTGTTGATGCAACTTTTTTTTGAAAATCCCTTTCAATATACATTTTCAATATTGAAATATGAGTCGTAAATGTCATATTTTAAAAATAACGCATTTTGTGTATTTTATATGACTAGATTTAGTAAAATACAATTATTTTCAACTATTTTTAGGGTGTGGTGAATTTCCAAAGAAACTCACCACACCCTTAAAATTATCGAAAATTACTTTAAATTAAGGAGAATGCATATAAAAAAAGAAAAATAAGAATTTTTTGTAATATTTTATGTAAAAAACTCTCGATTTTAGATAATAAAAAAATTCTTCGTTGAGACAAAATATTTTGAAATTTGATTTCAAACCCGATTATTAATATTGAAATATGGGTATTACATTCGATTTTTGTGGTGAATTTTTCTAAAAAATTTTTAAATTGAAGAAATTATAAAAAATTTTTTTTAAGAACTATTAATAGAAAAAATTTTCAAAAAATTTATGAAATATGACCTAAACAAGGATTAATTTTGAAAATGTAAATTTATTAAAATAAATTTCTCTTTAAATTTTTTTAAAAAATGGTGAGAGAAACAATCACCACACCTTAAATAGGGTATGGCATAAAATGAAGGAACATTAGAAATGCAAAATAACAATTTTCAGTAATTTTTTAATACAAAATTAATTTAATGTTTTCCTAGAAGAATTTCAAAAAATTAAAAATTTTTATTAAAATTTGTAAGGAAAATATATAAATAACTATAAAAATAGATAGATGATGCGTTTATATTAGTAACATAATTGAAATGCGTTTATTTCCTACATTTTTTAATGTGTGTTGAATTTTCGAAGAAACTCACCACACCTGAAAAATGTTAGGAAATTGCATAATATAAAGGAATATGTATATAGAAATGCAAAATAGCAATATTCAGTAATTTTTTTAATCCAAATTCATTCGATTTTTGCTAGAAGATTTCAAAAATTTTTAAATTTTATTTAAATTTAGCATCGAAAAAATGTAAATAATTTTATTGAAATGAGTTCATTTTCTATATTTTTAAGGTGTGGTGAATTTCCAAAGAATCTCACCACACTTTAAAAATGTTTGGAAATTGCATAAAATGAAAAAAAAAAATAAAAAAAGTCAACATAATTTTAAAAAAATCCAAATTTAATAAAAAAGTGTGTTTATTTTAAAATACGTTAAATAATTATTAAAAACAAAAATATTGATTTTTTACTTACTTGGGGTGTGGTGATTTTTTTTATTTTATATTCACCACCCATTAATTTTTTTTCTTGCATAAAAACTAAATAAAAATTATATATTTGATTAGTATTAAATTTAATTATTCTGGGTTGCATTATTTTTATTAATATATTTTTCTCTCTCTCTCCCTCTCCTTTGGCAGGCAACTATTGGCTGGTGTGGATAATTTACGTCAAATGGCGGCAAATATTGAAAAATCTGAAACCCACATAGACTACGATGCTAGTCCGGATTTATTTTCAGATTTTATAGACGATTGTGATGATTATGAAGAATATCCGGGTGGACCGGCTTTGTAAATTGTCTTTTTTTCCAAACGTTTTTTTTTTTAAATTTGGCAAAATACAAACTCTCCTGTCTTATTTTTTTGTTTTCTATTTTTAGAGAATAATTATTGAAAAAAATTAAGATTTAAAATTAAAATATAATTATGATAATGAGTAAAGTGTAACTCATGCAAAAAACACTCCTACCCCGCCCCCTTTTACCCCCCTTGTATCCCTATTTCCCCTTTTGAAAATATATATAAACTATTTAACAAGAAAACATATTGATAACAAAAAAACAAACAAGCGAAACTATTTCACTATTTGAAAAAACAATGGAAATAAAATAAAATATTTAAAAAATGGACAAAAAACTATTAAAGCGTATATTTCAAAAATATCATGTTCCCAATAAAAAAATATATTTGCAAATAAAACAAAAAACAACCAGAAATAATTATAACAAAAAATATTTATTGTTTTTATTTGAAAATACTTTTTTTATTTTATTTTATATGGCTAAATTTGTTGATATAATTTTTAATTCTTATAACAACCAACAATTGAGCCTCCCGCTTTTTTATTCTGCCCTTTAACACATCTAAAAGATGTGTGGTATATATTTTTTTGCTATATATTTCTTTGTTATATATATTATTTTTCTTGTTGTCTCCCCTCTCTCTCTCTGTCTATGTCTGTGGTTTAGTTAAATAAAATTAAAAAAAAACCGAAAATTAAAATAAAACAAAAATAAATTATGTTAAATAAAAAAAGAATTAATAAAAATAAACACAGTATAGTTTATATATTTTTATCAAAAAATAATAATAATATTAGAATATAACCAAAAACAAAATAAAAAATAAAAATAAAAATTACCCATACACACAACAAACACCTAAAGCAAAGTTATTAATACAACAATAAAAATAAAAAAATTAAAAAAATACAACAGAAAATAAATTGAATTATTTTTTTAAATCAAAAAAATATACAAAAGCAATAATAACAACAACAATGCACCCTAAAACACATTCAACAACAACATATGCAGATTTTTTTTTTTGCTGAACTAAAAAAATATATATTTTTTTCAAAAAATAATCAAAATTTAATGTAAAAATGAGGCCCTTGCGCAGTAGCTAGGAGGCTATAATAATTTTGTTTAAAACACCCTGAAATATTTAATATATAAATAGGATCTTCCCTATTTACATTTTGGATCTGAGAGCAAGTCCCACAAAATTCAGATCTGTTTATTATTTAATTACGATGAAATTTGGCACAACTCAATCTATTGGAACAAGGTCGAAACCTATTAAAATTTATGAAAATCGTTTCCGATTTCGATATAGCTCCCATATAAAAATGCCTCCGATTTTATGAAAATGGTGCAACAAAGACCCAATGTTTGTCCGATTGTCATGAAATTTTGCAGAGCACGAATAATTGAGGACATAATGATGTGTGCCAAGTTTTGTTAAAATCGGTTCAGATTTTTATGTAGCTCCCTATATATATTTTCGTCCGATTTTTGTTAAATGGTGAACAAAATACAAAAAATGTTTTTCCGATTACCACGAAATTTTGCACAGGCTACCGCATAGAGTTCAGAATAGTGTGTGCTAAGTTTTGTTGAAATCGGTTCAGATGTGGATATGTAGCTCCCATATAAAATTTCGTCCGATTTCGAGAAAATTATCCATCAAAGGCTCCACATGCAATCGATTGCGACGAAATTTTGCAAAGCGAAGTGAATTGAGTCTAGAATGATGTGTGATGAGTTTTGTTGAAAGCGGTTCAGATTTCAATATAGCTCCCATATATATTTTCATTAGATTTGAGGTTATTGGTGCCCCAAAGACCCAATGTTTGTCCGATTGGTACGAAATTTTGCATAGCGAAGTGAATTGAGTCCATAATAATGTGTGTGAAGTTTTTTTTTACAATCGGTTCAGATTTCGATAGAGGCCCCATATAAAAATGCATCCTATTTTATGAAAATCCTACACCAAAGACCCAATGTTTGATCGATTGACAAGAAATTTTGCATATCATACTGAATGGTGGCTAGAATGATGTGTATTAAGTTTTGATGAGATCGGTTCAGATTTCGATATTCCATTGCTATTAAATTTTTTTACAGGCTACATAATAAAGTCCAGAATAATGTGTGTGAAGTTTGTTGAAATCGGTTCAGATTTCGATATAGCTTCCATATAAAAATTCATCCAAGGTTGGTTCAATCGTCACGAAACTTTGCTGATCATGAAAAATTGAGTCAAAAATGATGTGTATTAAGTTTTGTTAAAATGGGTTCAGATTTCGATATAGCTCTCATATACATTTTCAACCGATTTTTTGAAAATGGTGCACTAAAGGTTCCACATTCGATCGATTCCTATTAAATTTTTTTACAGGCTACCGAATAGAGTTCAGAATAATGTGTGTGAAATTTTCTTGAAATCGGTTCAGATTTCGATATAGGTCCCATAAAAAATTTCTTACGATTTCGAGAAAATTGTACACCAAAGACCCCACGTTTGCTCGATTGTCACGAAATTTTGCAAGGCAAAGTGAATTAAGTCTAGAATGATGTGTATTAAGTTTTGAAGTAATCGGTTCGGATTTCGATATAGCTTCCATATATATCTTCGGACGATTTCATGTAAATAGTGCTCTAAAGACCTCATTTTTATCTATCGATTGAGTCCAGAATGAAGTGTGTTGAGTTTTGTTGAAATCGGTTCAGATTTCGATATAGGTTCCATGCTATATTAACCTAAATTTTCGGAATTTTGACGATTCTTTTGCTCGTTTTCCGAACGAATTGTTTGTAAGTTGCTGATGCGACTTCTTCGTGGATAGCACACATCCCCCGACCAATCGATAATAAATATTGGTACACATTTAGGTATAGCCATCATATAACCTAACTTCGGAAATTTCTATATTTTTGAGATTTTCGGCATGTTTTTTAAGGGATTTGGCTATAATTTGATATTTTGGGTTTTCATTAGGTAGCAAATCACCATACCAAAAATTATAAATTTTGGTCCACTTTTCGTGATAACCTTCCATATAACCTAACCTCAAAAATATCGATATTTTGACTACTTTCGGATCGTTTTTCAACCGAATTGGCTATAATTTGATATTTTGGGTTTTCATTTGGTAGCAAATCACCCTACCAAAAATTATAAATTTTGATCGGGGTCGCCTCCATATAACCTAACCTCACAAATGTCTATATTTTTGAGATTTTCGGTTTCTTTTTCAAGCGAATTGGCTATAATTTGGTATTTTGAGTTCTCAGTGGGTAACAAATCTTTCCGCTAAAAATCATCAATATTGGTTCACTTTTTGGTCTAGCCTCCATATAACCTAACCTCAAAAATTTTTATATTTAGAGATTTTCGGCTTCTTTTTCAAGCGAATTGGCTATAATTTGGTATTTTGATTTCTCATTGGATAACAAATCTTTCCGCTAAAAATCATAAATTTTGGATCACTTTTTAGGATGGCCCCATATAAAGGTACTTCGAAATTTGCGGTATTTTGGGAATTTTGGGCACGTTTTTCAACCGAATTGGCTGAAATTTTGTATTTTGGGTTCTCAGATGGTAGCAAATCTTCCTACCAAAAATCATCAATAGTGGTCAACTTTTTAGGGTAGCTCCCATATAAGTTTCCTCAGATATTTCGATATTTTGGGGACCTTGGGTAGGTTGTTCGAGCTATTTGTTTGTAATTTGGGTTCTCAATGGGTAGCAAATCTTCGTACTGAAAATCATCAATATTGGTCAAATTTTTAGGGTAGTCCCCATATAACCTAACCTCACAAAAAATATTTTGGCTAGTTTGCCTTCTTTTTTTTTGGGCTTCTTTGCCAAAATTACGAGCAATTTGGTATCCAAACTCTTTGTTTTATTAAAAAAAATAACAAATAAAACCACACACTTACACACAGACACCGATAATATAACTAATACTAAAAAATAAACAAAAATTAAAAAGCTTTGCTAAAGTAAAGAAGAAAAAAACAAATAAAATATCTTTAAAAAAATTGTTATAAAAATATTACAAAGAAACAGAACATGAAGAAAGAAAAATGTCATTAAAAAAAAATAATAACAATAAAATAAAAACTAACAAAAAAACACCAACATTATTGAAATAAAAATAAAAGAAAAAATATTTAAATTTTATTTAAAAACTTTTTTTCATGGCGTGGATTTTTTTAAAAATATTTTTTCATGCAGGTACCAGAGGCGTGGATTTTGTATACCCTTCACCACACTGTGGTACAGGATATTATGTCTTTGTGCATATGCTTGTAACAGGCAAAAAGGAAACGAGATAGACATATGGTTCCTTTTGAGAATATGCATAGAATCACTTTCTGAGTCGATTTGTGCTGGCCCGTCCGTCTGTCCATGTTAAATTGTAAACAAAGTACAGGTGGCATTTATGATTCGAATTCGATGAAAGTTGGCATAGGTCACTTATTTGGCCCAAGGACGAACCCTATTAAAATTGGGGAAAATCGGTTCAGATTTAGATCTAGCTCCCACATATATTTTCGTCCGATTTAAGACAATTGGTGTACCAAAGACCCTATATATCTTTCGATTTGCACGAAATTTGGTATAGTGTACTGAATTAGGTCTAGAATGATGTGTGCTAAGTTTCGTAAAAATCGGTTCAGATTTAGATATAGCTCCCATATACATATATATTCGCCCGATTTAATGTATATGGTGCCTCAAATTCCCTAAATATCTATTGATTTGCACGAAATTGGGTATAGAGTAATGAATTAGGTCTAGAATGATGTGTGCTAAGTATCGTGAAAATCGGTTCAGATTTAGATATAGCTGCCGTATATATCTTCGTCCGATTTTATGTAAATGGTGCCCCAAATTCCCTAAATTGGGCATAGTATAGAGAAATTGAGTATAGAGTACTGAATTAGGTCTAGAATGATGAGTGCTAAGTTTCGTGAAAATCGGTTCAGATTTAGATATAGCTACGTATATATTTTTGTCCGATTTTAGGTAAATTATGCCCCAATTCCCTAAATATCTTCCGATTTGCACGAAATTTGACATAGCGTACTGAATTAAGTCTAGAATGATGTGTATTAAGTTTCCTGAAAATCGGTTCAGATTTAGATATAGCTCCCATATATATTTTCGTCCGATTTAAGGCAAATGGTGTCCCAAATTCCTTAAATATCTTTCGATTTGCACGAAATTTGGCATAGCGAACTGAATTGAGTGTTGAATGATATCTGTAAAATTTCTTGAAAATCGGTTCAGATTTATATATAGCTCCCATATATATTTTCGTCCGTTTTAATGTAAATGGTGCTCCAAATTCCCCAAATATCTTTCGATATGCTCGAAATTTCGCACAGCGTACTAAATTGAGTCTAGAATGATGTCTGTAAAATTTCTTGAAAATCGGTTCAGATTTAGATATAGCTCCCATATATATTTCGACCGATTTAATGTAAATGGTGCCCCAAATTCCCTAAATATCTTCCGATTTGCACGAAATTTGACATAGCGTACTGAATTGAGTCTAGAATGATGTGTGTAAAGTTTCCTGAAAATTGTCGGATTTTAAGAACCAAACTTAGTTTATGATCTCTAAGTCGATTCACCTTTAGATAAAGGTCACATATTTTAGTTCATCCAATTTAATGTTAATGGCCCTTCTGTTAGGATGCATCTTTTTAATATACCCATAGTGGTGAAGGGTATCATATAGTCGGCTTCGTCCGACTTTACAACTTTCCTTACTGGTTTTGTTGTTATTGTCTCATCTAAATCGAAGCCTTCCAATGCACTGAGCCTATTACTATTTAACACTTCCAAGACTTGGGCGAGTCCAGCTTCATGAAAATAGAGGAAAATATCAAAACCAGAAATCTCTGCATACCAGTCCATGGCAAAATAACAGATTTTCAAAATAATGACAGAGAGAGGGAATAATTTCTTTCTCTCTCATTTCTCTATAACCGTTTAATGATAGAACGTGCGACCTGTAGGCTGCTGCTGCAGTAGCAGCACCAGCTGCCGCTGGTTAGTTATACCGGGGACAATTATTTTTCAGTTCAATTGCTGGTGTCGTGGAATGTAGCTGGTGGTCGTTGTCATACCGTGCGTGTCTGTCTGTCTTGTAGATCAAGAAGAAAAAGAAAAAAACGAGTGATAGTTAATAACAAAAATAAAAATACAAAATTAAAAAAAGATTAAATTAAATAAAAAATATATAAAAAATAAAATAAATAATAAAACAAATTTAAATAAATAATTACCAGTGCACTATGATGTCCCGAAATATTCTAGGTAGGTATTTTCTTAAAGTTGTTGCTGTTCCTTTTTTGTTATTGTTAGTCTACAACATTTTCCTAGTGAAATGGAATTTTTTTAATGCAAATTTTTAATGCATTTCCCCTTTACACCATTCCTGTTAATGTGGGCGTGTGTGTGTGTGCGCGCGACTACTTGTTTTGCATAGACATTGGGTTGGAACGAAAACGTTAATTTGAATTTCAGTGGGATATTTAATTTAAATTCACTCAATTAAAATATTTTTTTAAATAATCCACGCCTTGGGTAACTCCGTGAAAAAAAATATTTTTAAATCAGTAAGGAAAGTAGTAAAGTCGGACTGGGCCGACTATATGATACCCTTCACCACTTTGTGTATATTGTACATATGTATCCTTACAATTGTATACCAATGTTCACTCGAAGGTACGCTATGCCAAATTTTGTGCAAATCGCAAAATATATTCGGACTTTGGTGCACCATTTATCTTAAATCGGGCGAAAATATATATGGGAGCTATATCTAAATCTGAACCGATTTTCACGAAATTTAACACACATCATTCTAGACCTAATTCAGAAAGCTATGCCACATTTCGTGCAAATCTATGGATATATAGGGACTTTTGTGCATCATTTACAATAAATCGGACGAAAATATATATGGAAGCTATATCTAAATCTGAACCGATTTTTACGAAACTTAGCACACATCATTCTAGACCTTATTCATTACGTTGTACCAAATTTCGTGCAAATCGAAAGGTATGGAGCGACTTTGGTACACCATTTTCCTTAAATCGGACGAAAATATATATGGGAGCTATACCTACATCTCGAAACTTAGCACACATTATTCTAGGCTTAATTCAGTACGCTGTGCCAAATTTCGTGCAAATCGAATTATATATAGGGACTTTGGTGCACCAATTACCTTAAATCGGACGAAAATATATATGGGAGCTATATCTAAATCTGAACCGATTTATCCCAATTTCAATAGGGTTCGTCCTTCGGCCAAATAAATGAGCTGTGCCAAATTTCATCCAATTCGAATCAAAAATGCGACGTGTACTTTGTTTACAATTTAACATGGACAGACAGACGGACGCACATGCCTAACTCGACTCAGAAAGTGATTCTATGCATATTCTCGAAAGGAACCATGTGTCGAACTCGTTTCCTTTTGCTGTTACAAACATATGCACAAATACATAATACCCTGTACCACAGTGTGGTAAAGGGTATAAAAATCCACGCCTTTGGTAGCTTCTTGAAAACATTTTTTTAAATACCCATTTACAAAATATCAAACTCACGTGTTTGAATATTTTCTTCTCTACTCAGCTCATCAACAACAACAACATCATTGCATCGTATTTAAATTCAAACGGGACAAATAAAGTGTGCGAAATATTTCAACACAAACTAACAATGAATAAATAAATCATTCAATTAATGGAGACTGAGGCGATCATATCAACAAATTTTGAATTTTGCAAATGTTGAATTAATTTCAATCAGATTATAGAATGAGTTTAGAAAAATAGAGATGAGGGGGAGAGCAAAAAAAAATATTAAAAAATATTTCGAATATATTTTTAAAAATCCACGCCTATTGTTGACCCTAAAAATTAGTTTTTAAAAAATCCACGCCTACTGGAGGTGCCTTGAAAAATATTACTTTTAAATCCAAGCCCAAAGTGGATCCCTGAAAAATTATTTTTTGTATATTTTCAAAACTATTTGCACACACTTGTTGATAATATGATAAGTTTTGTTTACAACATTATTAGAAACAGCAACTGCCATAAAAGACCCCCAATGGCGGACCCACAGCAAAGACAACAAGAACAACGATGATAATGGCGTGTGCGTAGAATTTCAAATCTTTATTTCCATTTATCAGGGCATTAATTGGACACTTTCTGATAATGATAATAATAATAAAAAAAATTGCTAAAATGATAACAAAACTGTTATGCCATACATACGCAGAATATATATGTGCATTAAATAAATTATTTTTTTTATTAATTTTTTTTTTGCACAACGCAAATATTGCAGATTGGTGGCATATAATTAGATCCTAAATGGATTTCATGCGCCATAGATAGTTAAGAGATAACCTACATACGTATTTATGTACTATTTATTTTAAATAAGGGCCAATATGTCAATTTTTTGCACACTCCAATCAAGAGATTTTTTTTTTCTGTGAGGTCTGAGGACCTATTTAATTTTTTTAATTATTAACAATATTTTTTAAATTAAGTTAATTGGTGAAAATTTCACTTGTCTGTTGAGGTCCCTATTTATTCACATCCAATTCCGGACAGAATACAAATGTATGCAAATAGATGTATTTTTCATAAGGCGTCATTGTAGTGGCGGCTAATGTGAACGACATCAACGTTGTTTATAAACAATGAATGTGTAAATTAATAGGCACTAATGCCTGGTAGGTCAAACATAAGGCACGCTGAATTTAAAACAATTTTTTTTTAAATTTTTTTCAACCTCTAATAGGTGTGGATATTTAAAACAGTAGTAAAGTCGGACTGGGCCGACTATATATGATAATCTTAACCACTTTGATATATTATACATATATATCGCCTACATAGACGTCGCCTTTTAGAAGAAACACTGTCGTGAAATCTGAACCGATTTTCACGAAATTTAGTACACTTCATTCTGGACCTAATTCAGTACGCCATGCCAAATTTCGTGAAAATCGAAAGATATATAGGGACTTTGGTACACCATTTACCTTAAATCGAACGAAAATATATATGGGAGCTATATCTAAATCTGAACCCATTTTCACGAAACTCAGCACACAGCATTCTAGACTCAATTCAGTACGCCATGCCAAATTTCGTGCAAATCGAAGGATGTATAGGGACTTTGGTGCACCATTTACATAAAATCGGACGAAAATATATATGGGAGATATATCTAAATCTGAACCGATTTTCATGAAACTTAGCACACATCATTGTAGGCTTAATACAGTACTCCAAGTCAAATTTCGTGCAAATGGAAGGATATATAGGGACTTTGGTACACCATTTATCTTAAATCGAACGGAAATATATATAGAAGCTATATCTAAATATGAACCGATTTTCATGAAACTTAGCACACACCATTCTACCCCTAATTCAGTACACCATGCCAAACTTCGTGCAAATCGAAGGATATATAGGAACTTTGGTGCACCATTTACCTTAAATCGAACGAAAATATATATGGGAGCTATACCTAAATCTGAACCGATTTTCAAGAAACTCAGCACACATCATTCTACACCCGATTCAGTACCCTATGCAAAATTTCGTGGGAGTTATATCTAAATCTGAACCGATTTTCCCCAATTTCAATAGGATTCGTCCTTGGGCCAAACAAATGAACGGTACCAAATTTCATCCAAATCGAATTATAAATGCAACCTTTACTTTGTTTACAATTTAACACCAACAGACGGTCGGACGAACACACAAAGACATAATACCCTGTACCACAGTGTGGTGAAGGGTATAAAAATTGTCAAGTAGATTTTTATACCCTACACAACTATGTTGTCAGGGTATTATAGCTTTGTGCAGCTCCCAAGAGGTTGTAACGCCGCGAAATTTTGGTCCTAGACCCACCATTAAGTATACCGATCGTCATATCTCGACTAGCTGATTCGATCTAGACATGTGTGTCCGTCCGTCTGTCCATTATAATTTGTAAACACGATACAGGCCACAGTTATGGACCAATCTTCACGAAATGTAGCAAATGTTGCATGTAGGATGGGCTTTGGCCAATGAAGACCCCTATTGTTTCTGGTAAAGATCGGTTAATATTTACGGGGATGAAATGGACCAAATACTAAATTTTTGTAGGTTTTTCTGGTCGCTATCGGGCCAAAAAATAAGCACGCCTGTTTTGATAAAGATCGGTCAATATTTAGCGGGTCAAATGAACCCTGACTTTTGTGTGAAAACTTGAAAAATTTGGATTCTATGGCGTATATATGTACTCCTAAAGGACATAGACCCGAGAAGTTGATAGTAGAACCAAGAAGAGTGGCTGACCTTTAAATTGATAATTGTATGGCCGTATGTACTCAGATGTGGGAGTTACACTTAAATATTTACAGGTGTTTACGTTACTGAGGCATTATACAGTAACCCATTAGCACACTAGAGGGCGGAAATATAGCGCTGATCGCTTTGAAATTTTCCATGAGGTTCCTGTTGTGGTCAAGGACAACGCCTATAATTTTCGGTAATGATCAGACAATAATATTGGGATGAGATGGACCGAATATTTAATTGTTTGTTTTTTTTTGAATCGATCTATAGGCCACGGTGAAGGGTATCTGGACAAGTAATATTAGTAATATTTGGCTGTACTGAATATTAGTAATATTTGTTGACCTCTAGTCGGTCAAGTGGGTGCAAATTTCACCAAAATATTGTCCAAGCTCAGAATATAGAACTACATAAAGTTATATTTTCGTGGAGGTTGTGTAGGGTATTATATGGTCGGCCACGCCCGACTATACTGCTCCGCTCACTAGTTTAAAAATATTTTTCAACAAATTTTTATTTTTTTTAAATTCCTTTTTAGCATCTTCAAATCGTTTGATATGGCAGTCCCGTTACACCTCTTCCTCCACACTAAATTCCAAGGCCGCACCGGCCCCTGCGCCTTTGCTACAAAATGACATGCCCAATTTGGATTATAAACCACCGGAATATAAGGGACCTAGCTATGAAAATATCAAGGAACTAAGGAAGAATCATCTCACACCGAATATCCAGTCGTATTATAAGAAACCTTTACTGATACACAATGGCCATATGCAGTGGCTGTTCGATCATGATGGTAATCGATATTTGGATATGTTCGGCGGTATTGTAACTGTGTCGGTGGGTCACTGTCATCCGTAAGTTTTGGGGAAATTAAAAAAAAATATATTTTTTTTTGATCAATTTTTTATTTTTTTCCTCTCCTTAGAAAAGTCAACAAGGCATTGGAGGAGCAAGTCAAGACCCTTTGGCACACCACAAATATTTATATGCACCCCAAGATTCATGAATATGCTGAAAAGCTGGCAGCCAAATTTCCGGGAGATTTAAAAGCGGTCTGCTTTGTCAATTCCGGTTCGGAGGCCAATGATTTGGCCATGCTTATGGCCCGTCTACATACCGGAAATCAAGATATTCTAACCCTGCGTAATTGTTATCATGGTATGTCACCATATACCATGGGCCTCACCGCCCATTCCACATGGCGTTTCCCCTTGGCCGGAGTATCGAATGGCATACATCATGTTATGAACCCGGATCCTTATACAGGGATTTGGGGTGGTTCGAATTGTCGTGATTCGCCCATACAAACTGATCGCCAATGCGAATGTAATGCGGAGTCGGGTCAGTGTCGGGCCAGTGAGATGTATTACAATGAATTGGAACAGACTTTCAAATATTCGCTGCCACGTGGTAAAGTGGCTGCCATGTTTGTCGAATCGATTCAGGGTGTGGGTGGCACCGTGCAATTTCCCAAGGGTTATGTCAAAAAGGCAGCGGAATTGGTGCGGGCCAATGGTGGGGTATTTGTGGCAGATGAAGTCCAAACGGGCTTTGGGCGTACCGGAGAACATTACTGGGGTTTTGAGGGTCATGGTATTGTACCGGATATTGTTACCATGGCTAAGGGTGTGTGAGGGACAAATTTTCCATTATTTTATGAAATTCATTTAATTTTCTCCTCAGGTATTGGCAATGGTTTCCCCATGGCCGCCGTCGTAACCACACCCGAAATTGCCAAATCCCTTGGCATGGCTTTGCATTTCAACACCTATGGTGGTAATCCTCTGGCCAGTGCTGTCGGTATTGCTGTCATGGATGTCATGGAAAAGGAACAGCTGCAAAAGAATTCCCTATATGTGGGTACCTACTTCCTCAAAAAATTAGCAGAACTTCGTGACAGTTATGAAATTGTTGGTGATGTTCGAGGCAAGGGTCTGATGATTGGCCTGGAATTGGTTAGTGATCGTAAAACCAAAACGCCATTGGGTGTACCACATGTCCTGGAGATATGGGAACAATGTAAAGATATGGGTGTACTATTTGGTCGTGGTGGTCTCAATGGAAATGTAAGTTTGAAAAAATTTTTTCTCAATTTTTAAAGCTTCTAAATTTGCGGCTTAATGTCTTTGGTCTTAATGCAATGTGTATCTGTCTGTGTGTGTACGCTTTTTTGGTTTTGGGTTTTTTTGTGGCTCAGCTTCCTTTGCCATTATTGAAATTTTGTATTCAAAGAGTTTTCTCTCTCTCTCTCCTTTTCTCTCTCTTTTTCCCCTTACAGATTTTACGCATTAAACCCCCAATGTGTATCTCGAAAACGGATGTTAATTTTGCCGTAGATGTCCTTAATCGTGCCATTTCAGATTTCGTAATGAAAAATTAAATGGATATATCGTTTTTTTATGTTTTAAATCTAATTTTGAATTTGAGTTTTTTATTGGAAAAAAAAGACTTGTACTTAGACTTATAATTTCTAGTTGATAGACATTTTTTAAATAAAACTAAAATTAATACAGTTTTTAAGGATATTTTTAATAGCAACAGACTTCATTTATTCGGTGACTCATAATGAAATTCGATGGAGAATATTTCGTTCTTTAATACCAAGCCTCAATGAGGAAATATAGTGGTCGAATATGGCCTCGATCCAAAATTACCCGAAGTTATAACCTTAAAAAATATATATTTTATTTAAGAATCAATTTGGAGCAATTATTTTAAGGTTATGTATTACAGCTAGCAATTTATTTTGTTCGGCGACCCATAGAGAATTTCGATGGAAAATATTTCGTTCTTTATCATCAACTCTCTATCATGAAATATTGTCATCGAATATGGCCTCAAATCAAAATGACCCGAAGTTAACCTTAAAAAATATATATTTTATTTAAGAAACAACTTTGAGCAATTATTTTAAGGTTATGTATTATAGGTAGCAGTTTCTTTTGCTCGGAGACCCATAGTGTAATTCGATGTAGAATATTTCCTCCTTTACGGCCAACTCTATATTTTAAATGGTTGGGGACAAATTTGACCTGCATTTGAGAACCGCCGAAATAAACCTAAAAAATAATAATATTTGAATTAAGTCTGAAATAAATGCGGATTTTGTTAGGGTTTGCATTTCACTTACAGATTTATTGTGGTCAGTGACCCATAGTGAATTTCGATGGAGAACATATTCTTCATTGACATCAATCCGCTAACATTAAATGTTGTGGTAGAATTTGGCATCATTCATGAAAGAATTAACCTAAAAAATAAAAACTTTTCAGAAATGTATGCAAACTTTGTAAGGGTTTATATACTACTTACAGATTTCTTGTGTTTGGAGATCCATAGTGAAATTCGATGTAGAATATTTTTTCCATTGATATCAATCCTCTATAATAAAGTGTTATGGTCGAAATGTGCATCCATTCAAAAACGTAGCGTATGAAGGCTAACATAAGCAGATTTCAATTATTGTATATCCATAATAGCTACTGATTTCATATGTTTGGTGACCCATCGCGAAATCCGATGGAGAATATTTCCTTCTTCAACTCCAACTCTCTATCATGTTATTGTGGTCAAATTTGGTTTCAAAAAGAAACCCCTTGAAATTAACCTAAACAATAAAAATATTGCAATTAACTCTGAATTGTATGCGGATTTTGTAAGGGTTTATATTCTACTTACAGATTTCTTGTGTTTGCCAAATGTTCTACATAGTGAAATTCGATGTAGAACATTTTTTCCATTGATATCAATACTCTATAATGAAGTATTATGGTCGTAATGAGCATACATTTAAAAACGTAGCGAAAGACGGCTAATGAAAGTCCCGATTTTTGTCTATATTTCAGGTATATCTATAAGAGCTGCAGAATTCTTGTGTTCGGTGACCCATAGTGAAATCCGATGGAGAATATTTCCTTCTTTAACTCTAACTCTCTATCGTGTGTTATCATGGTCGAAACTGACATCAATTTGAAAACACACGAAATTAACTATATTGGAATTAAATTTGAAATGTATGAGGATTTTGTAAGGGTTTGTGTTCTTCCTACATATTTCTTGTGTTCGGTGACCCATAGTGAAATTCGATGTAGAATATTTTTCTCATTGACATCATACCTCCAAAATGAAATATTGTGGCAGAATTCAGCATATTTCAGAATCATATTGAATGAAGAATCAACTTTTGTAGATTTGTATTAAAACCCATATTGGTACCGATATTTTGGGAGTATCTATAACAGCTGCAGATTTTTTGTATTCGATGACCCATTGTGAAATTTGATGTAGAACATTTCGTCCTTTAACAGCAACTCTCTATCATGTAATATTGTGGCCTAAACCGGTATCAAACACACGAAATTAACGTAAAAAATAAAAATATTGCAAACTCTGAAATGTATGCGGATTTTGTAAGGGTTTGTGTTCTTCCTACAGATTTCTTTTGTTGGGTGGCCCCTAGTGAAATTGGACGTAGAAAATTTTTCTCATTGGCATCGTACCTCCAAAATGAAGTATTGTGGTGAAATTCAGCATATTTCAGAATCATATTGAATGAAGAATAAACTTTTGTAGATTTTTATTAAACCCCCATATTGGTACCGATATTTTGGGAGTATCTATAACAGCTGCATATTTCTTTTGTTCGGTGACCCATAGTGAAATCCGATGGAGAATTTTTCGTTCTTTAGAGACAACTCTCTATCGTTAAAATTTGTTGTTGAATATGCGCCCATTTGAAAATAGTCAGAATTAACCTGAAAAATAAAAATATTGGAATTAACACTGAAATGTATGCGGATTTTGTAAGGGTTTGTATTCAACATACAGACTTCTTGTGCTCGGTGACTCATAGTGAAATTCGATATAGAATATTTTCACCATTGACATCAATTCCCTATAATGAAGTATTATGGTCGTAATGAGCATCCATTTAAAAACGTAACGAATGACGGCTAACCTTAGTAGATTTTAATTAATATTCCGCCGTTTTGTCGATATTTTACGGATTTTCATAACACCTACGTATTCTTGCGTTCGTTGACCCATAGTGAAATTTGATGTAGAATATTTCGTTCTTTAGAGACAACTCTCTATCGTTAAAATTTGTTGTTGAATATGCGCCCATTTGAAAATAGTCAGAATTAACCTGAAAAATAAAAATATTGGAATTAACACTGAAACGTATGCGGATTTTGTAAGGGTTTGTATTCAACTTACAGACTTCTTGTGCTCGGTGACTCATAGTAAAATTCGATATAGAATATTTTCACCATTGACATCAATCCCCTATAATGAAGTATTATGGTCGTAATGAGCATCCATTTAAAAACGTAGCGAATGACGGCTAACCTTAGTAGATTTTAATTAATATTCCGCCGTTTTGTCGATATTTTACGGATTTTCATAACACCTACGTATTCTTGCGTTCGTTGACCCATAGTGAAATTCGATGAAGAATATTTTGTCCTTTAACGATAACTCTCTATATTAAAAACATATAGTTGAATATGCGCCCATTTGAAAATAGCCAGGAATTAACCTAAAAAATAAAAATATTGGAATTAACTCTGAAATGAATGCGAACTGGGTTTGTATACTACTTACAGATTTCTTGTGTTCCGTAACGCCTAGTGAAATTCGATGTAGATTATTTTCTCCATTAACATGACTGCTCTAAAATGGTGTATTGTAGAAGAATTTTGTATGATTTCAAAAACGTAGCAAATTTAATTCTTCCCATGGTTTATTTTTTTCCTTGACTTTCGTTTTCTCTTTGTTTTTATTATTTTCTTCTTCTCCTTCGTTTTTTTCTCCATATCCTAGATAATGTGCCTCAAGCCACCCATGTGTATTACCAAAAATGATGTGGACTTTGCGATTGGGGTATTTGAAACGATCTTATCAAATCATTATTTAAAAGAACCACGCAATTGGAGACAATATGAAAGGAAATAAAAACAACAACTACAACAAATGTTTATGATTTTTTTATATTAATTTATTTTTAATTATTTTTTTGTAGCAATTTCATTTTAATTTATGTATATCATTCCCTAATTATATGACAATTTTGTTAGTTAGTTTTTTTACAATTTCACATACCTTCGATTTTTGACAATTTTTTTATTTTAATTTTATTGATTATTTTTTTATTTAATACTCTGTGTGTATATTTAAAAAAATATAAGCTTATTGTTTTTTTGTTTTATAAATAAAGGACATATTTCCAATTTCATACATAAATATATATTTTTTATTTATTTAAATTTGTGTGAATTTTGGCTTCAGTGGTTGTTTGGGTTTTTTTTAGAGTAAAGTAAATTTTTTATAGAGAAGAGGCACAGCTTGTGTTTGTTGTTGTTTGCTTTTTTAAAGGATAGGTGTAAAGTATTGTTTGTTATTCGAATATTTTATAATTTTTTTAGTTGGAAAAATTGTGCAATATTTAAGGGTAAGGTTAACCAACTAAAGCGTATAGACTATTTAAGGGGTTAATTTAAAACGTCTTATTTTTTTAATTTAAAAAAAAAAAAAAATAAAATTTTGAATAAAAAATTTTTGAATAAAATTGTTGAAGGTGTCTTCTGGCCCTTTTGAACGCATATACGGCTAATTAACTATTAGAACCTCTATATAGAGCTCATAATTAAAAATTTTGATAGCTCCTCACCAATAATTTGGACCTATAGAGGGCTCATAGCCGTCAATTCGGGTGCCTATGTGCCTACTCATAATCTATACTGACCTCTATAGGAAAATGTTTAACTTCTTTGGACCTAATGAGCACCTCACGCATTGGAGGATCACCTTTTTAGCACCTTTAAGGTGCTCATTTTCAACCTTGTTCTAATGAACTCCGTATCACCTATTCGCACCTTTAAGGTGCTCTTCCAACCTTTTAGTCGTCAATTCGGAGCCTTCAGGTATTCTTATGGACTCCATAAATGATCCATGAGTATCTAAGTCTCATTGGGACCTCTATGAAATTATTTTGAGGTCTTTTACTCCACCAGTAGAGTTCATTAGCGTCTATTCGAACCTAAAGAACTTTTTGGGTCTCGTCATAACGTATTCCGCCCTCAATAGAGCTCCTTATTACCTGTACGAACCTCTATAGAACTGCTCATTACCTCTGGATCTCATTGGAACCTCTATGGAATTCATTTGGGGACTTTTGTGCCACCTATATTCAGAAGGGCTATTCGATATTCGTCGAACCTTTGTGGAAACTCAACAACCTGTTGGGCCTCTTCATCACTTTTTCCGACCTTAATAGAGCTCCCTATTACCTATAAGAAACTGTATAAGACTTTTCATCACCTATTCGGACCTTTATGTAAGGAATCTCTTTTTTCCTATTTTTCCTAAACCTATTTCAACCTCTATATAATTGGTTTTCGAAATTTGACGTATCTTATTTTGATCTTTTCGAATCCGGTTCGAGATAAGAGGTTCGCAAATATATAATAAAGAGCTCTATTGAGGTTCGGTAGGTGAAAATAGTTTTTAGAGGTTCGAATTGATAATCAGGCTTTCATTACACACCTATGAAGATTCTATTGAGGTCGCATCGGTAGGGAGGAGGTATAAAATATTTCAATAGAGGCCAAAATGTGTGATGATGAGTTATTCAGAGGTTCGAATTTATTATGACTAGCTCTATTAAGGTTCAGATAAGTGATGAGAAGTGTCATATTTAAAGGTTTGAAATGGTAATGAGAAGTTCTCGCGAGGCCCGAGTAGGTGCTGAGAAGTAATTTAGAGATTCAATTTGGTAATGAAGATTTCCTCTTAGTCCTTTAAAGGTTCGAATAGGTGATAAGAAGTTCATTAGAGGTTGGAATAGGTAATGAGAAGCTCTATTAAGGTTCGCATTGATATGGAGGAGATACAAAAGGGTTCAATAGAGGTCAGAATATATAATAAGGAATTTTTTAGAGGTTCGAGGAATTATATAGAGGTTCGAGAAATTATATAGAGGTTCGAATGTATAACGACTAGCTCTATTGAGGTTTAGATAAGTGATGAGAAGGGTCAAAAAGTTGAAAAAGTGCTATTTAGAGGTTCGAAATGGTAATGAGAAGTTCTCTAGAGGTCCGAGTAGGTGATGAAAAGTTCTTTAGAGGTTCAAATTGGTAATGCTGAGCTCTTTTTTAAGTTTAAATAGATAACGAGTAGACCCAAAAAGGTGTGAAATAAGTTGTGAAGATGTTTTAGATGTCGGAATAAGAAGGAATCAAAAGGAAGACCTTGAATAGATTCTCTCGTGAGTTTGATATATGCATTACAAATTTTATTCAAAACTAAATTATAAAAATAAAAATAAAAACAATAACAAATTTAAAATAAAAAAACAACTAAATTATTATTATTACTTATATATATTTTCTTAAAACAATATATTTATTTACAATTCTAGGAGATTTTTTTTCGAAAAATTAGTTTTTCTTATTTTTTATAAAGTTAATATAACATTTTTTTTTTTTTTTTTTGAAGGCAAACAATGATACCAAAAATATAAATGCCTGTACTTTTTATTTGAAAAAAAAAACAATAAAAAACATTTAAAAAAATATTTTTTTTAAAAAAATTATAGTTTTAATTAGGCTTCCATTATTTCATAATTTTTTTTATAAATTATTATTTTATAAATTATTATTTTTTTTTATAAATTTACAATAATTATTATTTTTTACAAATATTATTTAATTTTTATTTTGTTAAATAAAAAAATAAAATAACAATAATTATAATTATTATAATAGTAATAGTTAGTTATGCTAATACCGGAGCAGTCTTCCTTGCTTGCGGTGGCGCTGATGGCAGCAGCAGCAGCGACGCTACACTTGTATATCGATTAGCTTGCCATCGTTACCAATATCGGTGAGCAGAGTTTCCGATAGTTCTTTGCGTGCTTTTTGCACCACCCAAAACATCAAGGCTATGCCGCAGACAACCTGTAATTGGACGTAGACAACAACAATAACAACAACAATGGAATTAGTTAAGGAAAATCGAAATCAAAAATTTATAGCTAAAATTTGAAATATCAATGGTTTTCTAGTTAAGTAATTGAATAATTGATTATGACAACAAAAATTAAAGCATACTTTACGGCGTAGACATATAAAAGAAACAAAAAAAGGTAAAGGTTATGAAAATCATTAACAGGTACACTGAGAACAAAAATGTAATAGGGTTGAAGAAGAGAATAATTAGACCAGTATTTAAGTTCCATAGACGACGGGATAGGTGATAAAGAGGTCTTAAGAGGCTCGAGCAGGTAATGAGGACCTCTTTTGAGGTCTGGATATGTAAAGAGTAGCTTTATTGAGTTGTAGATGTGTGATGAGAAGGTCCCAATAAGTTATGATGAATCCTTTAGAGGTGAGAATATGTAATGAGGAAGTCAATATATTGTTTATGAGTTCGATATAGGTCGTTAGAGGTTCGATGGAGCTCTATTGAGGTTCGGATATGTAAGGAGCAGGTCCCAATAAGTTATGAAGACCCCTTTAGAGTTCCGATTATATAATGAGGTGGTTCAAAAAGGTGTATAAGTGGGTCGGAACAAGTGATGAAGAGGTCAATAGAGGTTCGAATATGTAGAAGGAACTCTATTTAGGTCCAGTTTTGTGGTGAAAAGGTCAAAATAAGTCCTTCAAAGGTTTGAATAGGTAGGACCAAAAAAGTGTATAAGAGTTTCAAAAGGTGCAAATAGGTTATGCATAGTCCTTCAAAGGTTTGAATAGGTAATGAGAAATTCATTAGAGGTTAGAATGAGTACTTATGAGCTCCATTGAGGTTCGCATAGGGATAAGTTTTTCGGAGTTCGAATATATAATTGGTAATGTGAAGCGTCAAAAAGGTGAAAAGTGCAATTTAGAGGTTCGAATAGGTGATGAGAAGTTAATTAGAGGTTAGATGGTTACTGTGAAGCGTCAAAAAGTTGAAAAAGTGCAATTTAGATGTTCGAATAGGTGATGAGAAGTTAATTAGAGGTTAGAATGGTTACTGTGGAGCTCTATAGAGGTTCGCATTGGTAAGGAGGAGGTCCAAAAAGGTTCTTTAGAGGTCGGAATAAGATATGGTCAGTTTTTCGGAGACAGGAATATTTGAAAGAGAGTTATTTAGATGCTCGAATATATAACGAGAGGTTCTATTGAGGTTTGAATAGGTAATATGTAATGAGAAGCCCTCAATAAGTTATGAGGACTATTTTAGAAGACCAAATATGTAATGAGGAGGCCCAAAAAGGTATATACGATTTCCATAGAGGTGTGAATAGGTAATAAGGAGTTATTTATAGGTCCGAATAGTAATGCGGAGATCTACTCAGGTCCAAACATGTAATAAGGAAGCCCAAGAAGATGTATAAAAGTTACATGGAGGTGCGACTCGGTAACGAAGAGTTTGAATGGGCGATGAGAAGTCGATTAGAGATGGGAAAAGGTAAATAAAGAGCTCTATTTATGTCCGAATGAGTGAGTAGGAAATCCAAAGGCTACAATAAAGTTTCATATAGGTAATGGAGTGGTCTTCAGAGGTTCGCATAGACAATGATGACATTAATTGGGTTACGGATTTGTGATGAGAAGTTCTCAATACTTCTTTAGAGGTTCGCATATGTAATGAGATGATCAAAAAAGGTGTATAAGAGTTTCAAAGCGTTGGGAATAGGCAATAAGAAGTTCTTTAGAGGTTCGAATGATTGATAAGAAACTCATTAGAGGTTAGAATAGGTAATGAGCAGCTCTTTTTAGGTCGGAATTTGTACGGAGAGGTCCAAAAAGAAGCACAGGAGTTCCATAGCGGTCGGAATAAGAGATGACAACTTAGTTGAGAGGACAGTAGATATTATCAACTATTACATGTAGATTTTCACCGCACAAATTATTCTATGGGAGATCCACTCAGAAAAATTTGTATTGATTTTAATTCTGTGTACTCTAATGTAGATTTTAGCAAGAATGTTGAATTTATAAAATCTAATATAATTGTATTTTTAAATGAGTAGTGCAACTTAATAATAAACTGGCTGTTGGAGTAGATTCTGTAGCTGGTTTTCTATTCCCTTCTCACATTCCACCATGATGCGGATTATGGTGTGTACGTGATCCCTACGAAAGGGGAGGTCGCCCCCTCGGTCGGCAGGGGTGGGAAAGTGAGGCGTGGGAACGTTAAAAAAAAATAGGTGATGGGGAGTTATTAAGAGGTTTAAATATGGAAAGAGTGCCACAGATGCTCGAATATGTAATGAGCAGTTATTTAGATGTTTGAATAGCTTATGATTAGTTCATTAGAGGTTAGAATAGGCAATGAGGAGCTCTACTGAGGTCCAAAAGGGCGTAATCGAGTTCTATAGAGGTCATAATAGGATATGGTAAGCTTTCGGAGCCCGGTGATGAGGACTTATTTAGAAGGTTTGAATAAATTATTATGATTTGCACAATTTGTGCCAAATTGGATATTCAATTCCTTTGGTATTGGATTTAAGTTTTAGTAAAATTTTTACCATTTTGTGTGGACCGATGGGTCTCATCTTCGGACATGATCTAGGTATGGTAAAAATATTACGATCTGCAAAGTTCGGATAAAATCGGACATCGCATTCGCTTGGTATTAAATTAACAAAATTTCAAAAATTTTGACCCATTGTGGGGGAGGTACCAGAAGCAGTGGATCGATAGGTTCCATTTTCAAACATGAAGTAGGTTTGGTAAAAGTATTACGATCTGCAAAGTTTGGGTCAAATCGGACATTGCATTCGCTTGGTATTAAATTAACAAAATCTCAAAAATGTTGGCCCATTGTAGGGGAGGTACCAAAAGGAGTGGACCAATGGGACCCATTTTCGAACATGATCTAGGTTTGGTAAAAGTATTACGATCTGCAAAGTTTGTTTCAATTCGGATATTGCATTCGCTTGGTATTAAATTAAGAAATTTTCAAAAAAAATTTACCCATTGTGGGGGAGGTACCAGAAGCAGTGAATCGATTGGTTCCATTTTCGGACATGAACTAGCTTTGGTGAAAGTGTTACGATTTGCAATATTAGGATCACATCGGACATTCCATTCGTTTGATATTGGATTTATAAAAATTTTAAATGTTGACCCTTTTGTGGGGGAGCTACCAAAAGGAGTGGACCAATGGGTCCCATCTTTGGCCTTGATATAGGTTTGGTAAATATAATAGGTTGTGCAAAGTTTGGTTCAAATCGGATAGTCCACTCGTATATAAATCAAAGGGTATATGCTATCCACATTAGTCATAAGGCTGAGGGTATAAAAAAGTTTATAAAAAAACGGAGAATACTTTTAGGCGCTTTTAACAAACTGAACACTATGGCAGAGAATTTGAGCATTTAAACAACAGAATGACATCAATATCGAATTTGAAACAATTTTAAAACAGGTAATGCATGTTTTTTGTATTAAATTATTGTTTTGGGAATGGGGGAGGAGGCGGAGGAGCAGAAGAATGAAGATTAAAACTGGATTGGATTGGCGTTATACAAAAAGGGAATAAAAAATTAAAAAAAAAAAAACAGGTGGACTGTTTTTTTTGGCAATTGAATGGGAGTGATGAGTTATTTCAATATTTTTATTTTTCTCTTTTCAGATTCATATTTAGATAAAAATCTGTTTGAGGGGTGGAGACGATATTTTCTTCATATCTATATCTTAATAGATTTAAATTGTCAATAACAACAACAAATTAATTGTCAATTATTGTAGAACAAATTGGTTGTATTTTTTTTAATAACATGGTGGCATGCACGACCATGCATGTTGACTATTATATTATTAACATATGTATTAATTTACTGTTACGTCCATCCGTCTGTCCGTTGTGACACCTTATCACCTTTTGGTTTGTGTTATGGTTTTTGTTGTTGTTGTTTCGTTTTTTGTTTTTGTAATAGCTTACCTCAACACCAAAACTAATGTAACCGGTGATTGCCGTCCCATGATTATTCAAGACTTCATGCATTGACCGTAGGGTTGAACCCAAATAAACGTTAATTAATTGAGCTGGCAATAGACCGAGAAATGTGGCGGTATGATAAACTTTGGGGTTAATGGTGCTAACCTGCAAAATGAAAACCAAAAAAAAAAAAATAGGGAAAACAATTAGCCATATGGATAACAAACAAAACGTGCATAAACATGCACGCACATACACAATTAAAGGATATTATTTACATAATGATAATAATATGAGATATTTGATATTTGTAAAAGGGAGAATGGTAAGGTTAGAGGTGGGGAGATTGGGGAGGGTGGGTATTTTAAGAGTTGCTTAGGTACATAAGAGTTTCATAGAGGTGCGTACAGGTAATAAGGAGTTCTTTAGAGTTTCGAATTGGTGATGAGAAGTCTATTAGAGGTGCGAATAGATATTGAAGAGGTCGTTAGGTGTTCGAATAGGTAATGATGAGCTCTATTGAGGTCCGGATATGCAATGAGGAGGTTCCAATAAGTTATGAGGACTCCTTTAGAGTTCCAAAAGTGTGATGGGGAGGTTCAAAAAGTTTTATAAGAGTTTCATAGCAGTGCGAAGGAGTTATTTAAATGGTTCGAATGGATGATGATAAGTCCGTAAGAGGTTCGAAAAGGTAATGAGGAGCTCTATTGGGGTTCAGATATGTGATGAGAAGGTCCACAAAACCTACGAATAGGCGATGTAAGTTCATAAGAGGTTGGGATAGGTAATGATGAGGAGCTAAATTTAGTAGGAGGTCCAAAAATGGTAAAACACAAGCTCCATAGAGGTTGCAATAAATTATGGTATGTTTTTCTGAGCACAGTATAGGTGATGAAGAGTTCTACTGAGGTTGGAGAATAGGTCAGGGGGAGGTTCTGCAGAGGTCGGAATAGGTCATTAGGAGTAATGAGGTGATTTTGAGGTCCGAAAATGCAATGATGAGACCCAATAGGGCGTATAAGAGTTTCATAGAGGTGCACATAGGTAACACGCAGTTCTTTAGAGGTTCGAATGGGTAATGAGAAATTCATTAGAGGATAGAATAGGTAATGAGAACCTTGTTTTAAGTCGGAATTTGTACGAAGGGGGTACAAAAAGATGCAATAGAGTTCCATAATGGTCGGAATAGGAAATGGTTAGTTCCTCAGAGGTCGGAATAGGTGATTTGGAGTAATGAGAAGATTTTTTGAGGTCCGAAAATGTAACGATGAAACCCAAAAAGGCGTATAAGAGTTTCATAGAGGTGCGTATAGGTAATACAGAATTCTTTAGAGGTTCGAATGGGTAATGAGAAATTCATTAGAGGTTAGAATAGGCAATGAGAAACTTATTTGAAGTCGGAAACTGTACGAAGATGCATTAGAGTTCCATAGTGGTCGAAATAAGAGACGGTTAGTTGCTCAGAGGACGGAATAGTTGATTAGGTGTAATGAGAAGATAATTTAAGGTCCGAAAATGTAATAAGGAAGCAAAACAACTGCATAATAGTTTCAAAGAGGTGCGTATATGGAAGATGAGAGGTTCGAATGGAAGATGAGAAATTCATTAGAGGTTAGAATAGGTAATGCGAAGCTTATTTTATGTCGGAATTTGTACGAAGGAGTTGCAAAAAGATGCAATAGAGTTCCATTGCGGTCGGAATAAGATATGATTAGTTAGTTGAGAGGACAAAATAGGTGATAGGGACTTATTAAGAGGTTTGAATATATAATGACGGAGCTCTAATGAGGCTTGAGTAGATGATGAGGAGGGTCAAGAGTTAAAAAAATAGTGCCCCATATAAGGGTACCCCCAATTTTCAGTAATTTGGAGGGTTTTGAAAGAAATTTTCGAACGATTTTTTTTTCAAAATAATCTTGTTCTTTTTTGTCTCTGACCATGTCTGGAAATGTTTGTGCTTTTTTTATTTCAATATTTTTATTGTCTGCCCACATTTGTTTTTATTTTTTTATATTTGGGGCATCCAAAAAAACAATTAAAATTTTTTATTGTTTATGGTATATATACATATATGTATATACATATATCTTTAGAGAATGCCAACGAAAAACATCTGCCTATACACACACACATACCAATGACATTTTCATGTCTGGACGCGAATTTTTACTGCGTGATGATCATAACGATGTTGATGGCGATTTTGTGACCGTCTGTGGCCGAAAAAGACAAAAATGAGCCACAACAAATCAAAACAAAAATTCCGATACAAAGACCTCACAATGCACCATAAGTAGGGACACCTGAACGCAAGAATTGAAAAACAAATAGTTCAATGGGAATCGGAAATTTTATGTTGGGTTGTAGACCCCTATTAATAATTTTGGGTGGGAACATTGAATGATCATTTTTGGTTAGAAGGTCTGGTAAACAATAAGATGCCAAAAAAATCAATGTACAGCCAATTCGGTTAAAAAAATGATGAGGAGCTAAATTTAGTAGGAGGTCCAAAAATGGTAAAACACAAGCTCCATAGAGGTTGCAATAAATTATGGTATGTTTTTCTGAGCACAGTATAGGTGATGAAGAGTTCTACTGAGGTTGGAGAATAGGTCAGGGGGAGGTTCTGCAGAGGTCGGAATAGGTCATTAGGAGTAATGAGGTGATTTTGAGGTCCGAAAATGCAATGATGAGACCCAATAGGGCGTATAAGAGTTTCATAGAGGTGCACATAGGTAACACGCAGTTCTTTAGAGGTTCGAATGGGTAATGAGAAATTCATTAGAGGATAGAATAGGTAATGAGAACCTTGTTTTAAGTCGGAATTTGTACGAAGGGGGTACAAAAAGATGCAATAGAGTTCCATAATGGTCGGAATAGGAAATGGTTAGTTCCTCAGAGGTCGGAATAGGTGATTTGGAGTAATGAGAAGATTTTTTGAGGTCCGAAAATGTAACGATGAAACCCAAAAAGGCGTATAAGAGTTTCATAGAGGTGCGTATAGGTAATACAGAATTCTTTAGAGGTTCGAATGGGTAATGAGAAATTCATTAGAGGTTAGAATAGGCAATGAGAAACTTATTTGAAGTCGGAAACTGTACGAAGATGCATTAGAGTTCCATAGTGGTCGAAATAAGAGACGGTTAGTTGCTCAGAGGACGGAATAGTTGATTAGGTGTAATGAGAAGATAATTTAAGGTCCGAAAATGTAATAAGGAAGCAAAACAACTGCATAATAGTTTCAAAGAGGTGCGTATATGGAAGATGAGAGGTTCGAATGGAAGATGAGAAATTCATTAGAGGTTAGAATAGGTAATGCGAAGCTTATTTTATGTCGGAATTTGTACGAAGGAGTTGCAAAAAGATGCAATAGAGTTCCATTGCGGTCGGAATAAGATATGATTAGTTAGTTGAGAGGACAAAATAGGTGATAGGGACTTATTAAGAGGTTTGAATATATAATGACGGAGCTCTAATGAGGCTTGAGTAGATGATGAGGAGGGTCAAGAGTTAAAAAAATAGTGCCCCATATAAGGGTACCCCCAATTTTCAGTAATTTGGAGGGTTTTGAAAGAAATTTTCGAACGATTTTTTTTTCAAAATAATCTTGTTCTTTTTTGTCTCTGACCATGTCTGGAAATGTTTGTGCTTTTTTTATTTCAATATTTTTATTGTCTGCCCACATTTGTTTTTATTTTTTTATATTTGGGGCATCCAAAAAAACAATTAAAATTTTTTATTGTTTATGGTATATATACATATATGTATATACATATATCTTTAGAGAATGCCAACGAAAAACATCTGCCTATACACACACACACATACCAATGACATTTTCATGTCTGGACGCGAATTTTTACTGCGTGATGATCATAACGATGTTGATGGCGATTTTGTGACCGTCTGTGGCCGAAAAAGACAAAAATGAGCCACAACAAATCAAAACAAAAATTCCGATACAAAGACCTCACAATGCACCATAAGTAGGGACACCTGAACGCAAGAATTGAAAAGCAAATAGTTCAATGGGAATCGGAAAGTTTATGTTGGGTTGTAGACCCCTATTAATAATTTTGGGTGGGAACATTGAATGATCATTTTTGATCATTTTTGGTAAGAAGGTCTGGTAAACAATAAGATGCCAAAAAAATCAATGTACAGCCAATTCGGTTAAAAAAATCGCCCAAAATCCACAAAATATCGAAATTTCGGAGGTACTAACCTAAAAAGTAGATCAATATTGATCGTTTTTGGTAAGAAGGTCTGCTAAACAATAAGAACCCAAAAAACCAAAGTACAGCCAATTCGGTTAGAAAATGTGCCCAAACTCACCAAAATATCGAAATTTCGAGGATTCCGTTATATGGGAGCTACTCTAAAAAGTATACCAATATTTATAATTTTTGGTACGAAGTTTTGCTACCCAATGAGAAACCAAAATACCAAATTCCAGCCACTTCGTTTGGGAAATGTGCCCAAACTTCCCAAAATATCGAAATTTTGAAGGTTCCGTTATACGGGAGATACCCCTAAAATTAGACCAATACTGATAATTTTTGGTAGGAAGAGGAAATTTCAGCAACTTCGGTTAGAAAATGTGCCCAAACTCACCAAAATATCAAAATTCCGGTGGTTCCGTTATATGGGGACTACCCTTAAAATTAGACCAATATTGATAATTTTTGGTAGGAAGATTTCGTACCCACTGAGAACCCAAAATACCAAATTTCCAGCCATTCCGATTGGTAAATGTGGCCAAAATCCCCAAAATATCAACATTTCGAAGATTCCGTAATATTCCGTTCATAATTTTTGGTAGGAAGATTTCGTACCCACTGAGAACCCAAATACCAAAGTCCAGCCATTTCGATGAGAAAATGTGGCCAAATTCCCCAAAATATGGAAATTCCGGAGGTACCATTATATGGGGGCTACTCTAAAAAGTAGACCAATATTGATCATTTTTGGTTGGAAGTTATGCTACCCAATGAGAACCCGAAATACCAAGTTACAGCCATTTCGGTGGAAAAATGTGCCTAAAATTCAAAAAATATCGAAATTTTGGAGATCCCGATGTATGGAAGCTACCCTGAAAAGTACACCAATATTGATATTTTTTGGTGCAGAGGGTTTGCTACCAAATGAGAAGCCACAATACTAAA